TTTCACATATAATGCTCTAAATCACCCCATGGATTCTATTAGTTAGCACCTTGGAAATGATCTTATACATCACTGTACAGCAGGCTATTGGTCTATACTCTTTCACTGTTTTGGGATTCTGCACTTTTGGAATAAGAGCCACTAAAGTACAATTAAACTCCTTATGAAGCATCCCAATTTTGAAGAAGTTTTTCACTGCTTCAATGACATCTCTTTTAACTATCTTCCAAGTATGTTTAAAAAAATAAGCATTGTATCCATCTATCCCTGGTGCCTTATCATCCCCTGTGGATTTCAAGCCTTCATATATTTCTTGCTCAGTTACTTCTCTACACAACTGTACTCTTTGCTGTTGTGTCAATGCAGGCCCTCTTTTCATCACTTTTACATTAACTGCTGGTAACTTTCCTGCTGAAGTCCTCATTAAACTCTTATAGAATAACAAAAACTCCTCTTGGATTTCCTGAGGATCATAGAGCATCTGACAACTTAAGGCCATAATACTTCTTACTTGCTTCTTTTGAGTTTTCTCTTTAATGACTGCACTAAAGTACTTGTTGTTTGCATCTCCCAGTTGAATCCATTTGATCCTTGATTTTTGTCTTAGAGCATTTTCTTCAAGTAAGGACCATTTTTCAAGATTGATCAGTAACTCCTTCTCCTTCACAATCAACTCATCCGTAGCTTGTTCATTCAGCTGACTTTGGACATTTGCAACATCTATTCTAGCTTGTTCAATCTTCCTCCCAATGTACTTGAACTCTTTCCTGTTCAGCTGCTGTAGTCTATGTTGAAGATCCTTTAGTTTACACCACACCTTCTTCATTGCATCATAACCATACTATCTTTTCCATATAGTTTCTACAATCTCCATTAACCTCTCATGCTCAGTCCAAACATTGAAAAATTTGAAACTACATTTCCCATGCTGCTGAGTTTTTTGTAGAGTTAACATCATAGAGCTATGATCTGAAATATTAGGATTCCCATACTCTACAAATATATGTCCCCAGTTACCCATCCATTCATCATTGCCAAAAGCTCTATCTATTATGCTTGAGATTCTACTCTCTCCACATTGCTTATTATTCCAGGTGTAGTAGTTACCAGTAAGAGTGGCAGCGGAACCGGTACCTACCGGTTCCCGGTCAGGTCCGTCCCGGTCCGGTTCGGTACCGGTTAGTACCTGTTAGGGTTTGGGTATTCCGGTTCCGGGACAGGAACCGGGACGGAATTACCGAATATCTGATTTTTACCGGTTCCGGTAATTACCGGTCCGATCCGGTCCGGTCTGGTTCGGTTTTATTTTATTTTATTTTAAATAGAGTTGTTACTAGCCGTTGGGTAACGGCTAGTGGCCCCCCCCCCCAACGGCTAGTTGAAGAAAAATACATCCAATAAAGCCCTTACCCCACCCCTAACTTTTTTAATACCCTAAAGTTTTAAAAATTACACTTTAACCCATTTTTTTACTTATAAATACCCCTAAATTTCATTCTTTTAAATCACAATATCATCTATTCATCTTCTACTCTCTCAAGTCTCAACTCTCTACTCTCTATCTCTAATCTCTAATTCTATAATATAAAATATCTTAAATTTTGGTGTTGCCTTACTTGGTCTTTGGAAATTAGATTTGGAGCTTCAAAATTCAATTTTCAACTTTCCACGTTGGGCTATCGGCGGTCATAAACGTCTACTTTTTTTAAGTAGACATTCAGTACATTCGTTCTAACTTTTATTTTACGTTTCATTTATATTTAAATAATTATTTATTTATTTGTGATTTATTGTTTGCATAATTGCATAACATTTTTCTTATTATATTTATTCTCACGTTTAATTTTTTAATATGGACTTCGGAAAAAATATTGTTCAAAAAGGAAAGGGGAAAAAAAGTGCATTAGAGCGCGTAAGAAATGTTTGTAACTTTACATCCTCCGATAATGCAAAAACCGGTAGTTCTTCTAAATCAAAAACTAAAAAATCTACTATATTAAGAATAAATACGGATGATTATACACATGTTGATGATACGG